AGAATTCAGCTGTTTGAACATACACTAACATCATCAGTAAAGTAGTATGCTTATATTTAAGGACATGACCTTCGAACAAATGTAAACATAAATGTTAAGACACAGGGATAATAAATGATTTAAAATAAATACAACAGGTAAAAAACACTCAACAAAAGGAGAAATTTATATTCTATTTTATTTTCAAATTATTTTTCCTATACCTCACATTATATATATTTTACGTGGCAATGATCTCCTTGTCATCATTAGCTCAGACTGAACTCAAGAATTCTGTGGGCTGGGAATGTTTATCTACAAAACATAGTCTACTAAGTTCTAAGCTTGACTCCCCAGATTACAAAACAATAATAATACATGATGCCAATAATTCTATATAGAGGCACATTCAAAATTGGAATTAATTTTATCTTAAGAGTAAAATTTTATATGCTACAACAGAGGGAAATGTTCTGTTAAAAACATTTTGTTGTAATATTTTTCTTAATTATAAGACTTTAATACTAGCTGTGTCACTGCCCAGAACTATCTGGAAGATTGGAGAATATACATTCCATTCTACTATTAAGAAATGTAGTAGGTGTTGGGAGCCTGGAGGCCCTTGCACACAGAGATCTCCAGGGAAGAACAGGAACGTTAAACACACAGGATTGTCTTCTCAAAGGAGTGGACACAAAACCTCTTCTGTCCAGAAAGCTGGGAAATAGAGGTGATTGACAGCCTAGTGACTCTGTGTTAACTTTTGGGCTCCTACAAGCATGCCAAGCTCCAACAACCAGGTCCCATAGTGTCTAGTAATCTAAAATGACCCTTAGAGCCAGAGGCTTCCTCAATCTCCCACAACCGGGACCAGAGGTGGCAAATAGCCCCAGATGAATGACCTGTAGGATAGCTATATGTCCAAGACCAGGCTAGATCCCCCTATCCCCTGCAGCTTAGGACCTTAATTAAACTAACAGAGTTGGCCTATCTCTAGAACCCATATTCTTGGAAGAAATGACATACACCTTGAGTTCAGTTTCAGTGTAATTATGATTCCTCATGTTCTTGGGATTGTTATTACACCTGAATTGTTTTTTTTTTAAAGACCTATTTATTTATTTATTATGTACATGACAGAAGAGGGCACCAGATCTCATTAAGGATGGTTGCGAGCCACCATATGGTTGCTGGGAATTGAACTCAGGACCCCCGGAAGAGCAGCCTCTGCTCTGAACCTCTGAGCTATCTCTCCAGCCACCACCTGAAATGTTTTTATGTCCAAATTTTTTCCAATATTTTTCCCAAATTATACTGTCTTTAAATATGCTGAGAATTAATCGCCTGACATCAGAGTCTCTAGAAGGTTTGGTCCAGACAAAGTCAATCTGATCGGAGATTTACTCTAAATTCTTGATGATTTGTTTCCTTGCCTGATGTCTGTGGAGAGCCCCAGAGGCAGGGTCCACCCTATATCCTAAATTACCATCCCATCACTTGTCTTGCTTTACCTAAATCTAGCAGAAAGCAATCCTTATTAAATCAGAGTGAGACAGGCACTCATTCAGGTTTCTTCCAGTCAAAACGGAACTAACTGTCAATAGGGAAACACACGAGTGCGAAAACCATTTGACCATGTTATATTTTAATTTGTAAAGACAAAGATGACAAGCAATTTATTTACATAAAACTGTACAAAAGCAAATTAAATTATGTAAATTACCTCATAAATAGTTGGACGAGTGTTTAATACATTTCGCCACGTTTAGCAAAGTCGCGTGCATAGTGACATAATCAATGATGATTAATTGTTCTCTGCTTCACTATCAACATCCAAGTAGCAGAACAATAGTCAGTGATTAACGTTACAAACAGATCGTACCACACGGAATGCAAGTGCTTTCAAATGTAGGAAAAGTTGTCTGAAAGTAAACCCTAGGTAGCTGAAGGAATTATGCCCCATCCAGATGTCAAAAGCACCTTGCCTGGGACACAACTCACAAGCTTTATTGTATCCCGATGAACCTTTCTCTCCTTTTATTTGTTATTTTAAGGATACAGCTATTTATTTATGACCAACATAACCGATCATTCCAAATGTCATAGGTCTTAAGATTTCTCACAACTGTTTTAAGATGGCTGTTTGGTTCCTGGCAGTTTCTGGCCTCTGTGTTTCCTTGTGTATTTTCCTCTAACCCGGTCTCCCAGGGAACCCTTTCAGGCAGACATCCTCTCTACCACCTTAGTTCTTCCTCTCATAAAAAATAATGCCTCCTTTGCTTTCGAAACTCAGGCAAAAGGCCAGTCAAAAGCTCAGACAACAATGGTATCTAGAGATTCGGACAGAGCAGTTGATTTTAGACAGACGCTGCAGACGTTTACACACACACACGTTTTATAGTCACTCAATTTGTAAGTGTGTCCTAATGTATAGTCATGCAGAAGTCCAGTTGTGTACAGAAAAGAGAGTTTTTTATACTGTACAACCAAAAATGAAAAGAAAAACCTAACAAATAAAAAAGTTCTAAATCAATATTCTACCTTTCAAAATGGACTGATTTCACCTCTGATAATTCTTCCCTGTGTGATTCGATAACCAATAATTTCACTGTCCAGTGAGATTTAAGCAGCCCTGTTTCAATGCCTGAATCCTATATAATGAATGAACAATATTTAAGACTGGTCTATTATCTGAGTTGGTTAGAAGGCAAATTTTTAATATATTATTTATTCTCAGAAAATAAACATGGATAAATATACAGGATCAAAAAAGTTGGGAATAGCCCATTTCCCCTCATTATCCAAACCCAACAACCATTTGTTTGTTTGTTTTACCATAACAAGAGGTATAAAAGGCACAGTTGCTTATTTTGCATTCACTCATTTATTTTTTTGTTTTTATTATTTTTTTTTCAAAAGCACTCTATATATGGAGTGGCACCAGATTTAACCTATTCAAAATAAAAGTCATACAAACACAAAATATATTTCTGTGTCATGCCAGCTCATTATATAATAAACATGTTATGATAACTAATTCTACTAGAATTACTTCAAATACTTACAGTACACTGAATTTTATTCTTTCACATCCATTTTAGTTCTAAAGAGAGGTTCACACGTTAAATGACAATGACATGGCTGCCTGGCATGTGGTGCAAACATCACTGTGGGATGTGGATTGAACAAGTCTGTAGGTCCAGTGTGACCTGTATTAGCTTCATAGACAACCGAGGGATTTCAAGACTGAAGTGAGTTATCTAGTGGCTTCAAGTGTCCCATGAAAGAAAGAAAATATGCATATAAAAAGTGTTGAACATCAGTGTTATGCAATTATTTCCTTTGTAACGTGCAAGAAAAAATATGTATACATTTTCATAAGTATCTTTAGAAGTATTTTGTCTTAATAGGTACTTACAGATTATACAAGGCAGAACTGCTTGAATGCAGTTTTCTAACAAACTTCTAAAATTTCATCTTTCCATAGTGTAAATAATAACCAAACATAAGCATGTTCAATTATTGATATTTTAGTCCAATGTTTTTTATCTCAATTACATCTTGTTTCATTCTATCTATTATACATACATAAACTAACATCAAAACGAAAATTCCACTTAAGAAAGAGCATAAGGAAATGATCCCAAAAGACCCACCAGAGAAATATTCCTCAATGATAAGTATTTTGATGACATACTGTGAATTATTAACCTATAGTCTAGGTTTCTTCACACTAAAGTCTAAGAAAGTCTGCAAAGCATGAAACTACCCAAAGCTACAGTGTCTCTACAGTTTTGTAGACAGCCATCAAGGCTATGACTTTACCAAATTTCCAACATTCGGTGGTGAGAACACTTGCTCTCTTTACCTGTCATCCCCTATTCTGTCCATGGATTGTCACTTTCTTTTGAATGTCCCAGCTCAAATTCAGTTTTTAAAAATCATCTTGCATAGAGCAAAGAGCTCAAAGTCTGCATATTCTGTATCACTTCAACTATCGACAAAGATATTTTCAACTTTGAGATGCATATATATCGTGAGAAATATTATTGTCCAGAACTCATTCATGTTCAGAGATTGTGTAAGACGCATATCGAATAAAAGTCAAGTCAAAGTCAATTAAGGGGTTTCAATGTTGTCTTAAAATGTGTCTGTATTGCACAGAATTTGAAATTAATTCACTTACATTTTGACCAAGTGAAAAATGCAATCATAATTAGAAATGATAACAGGATCATCAAGAAAATCTGGGATCCTGAAATGACAGTGACCTCATAAAATTAAATTCCAGTGTCTTTCCATATCTCGCTGTGCATCAATATGACTTTAAGAAGTAGAATCTTCCCTGCCAAAATCACATGAGACAAGACTTGGGCTTAGATCAGTTGCCTATCATACTAAATATGTGTCTCGTTAGTTCTTTTATTTTCTAAACATTCAACCAAAATTCATCTTCAAAGACGACTATATTTGGAAAAAGGGTTAACATAAAACATGCTAGCATCTGAACGTTTCTGTGTCTTCCCAGAAACCATTACTTCTGTTGTTTAGTGGATTTCTACGTCAAGACCAAACCAATTTCATTATTTCCCTGATCTGTCGTGTGATCTTTGGCCTCACAATGACATAGTAATTCAAGTCCATTCATTAGTGATTCTATTCCAAAACATATTTCACAAGTCATGTTTCATGTAATTGACTTGTCAAGATTGGGTGAGTATATATTGTGAATGTATGGAAAAGAAATTGATGCTCTTGACCTGAAAATAACAACATATGGCAGCTTGGGACTACATCGTCCCACTGAGTTTTTACTTTGCTCCTAATTTTGTTGGGATATTAAAGCTGTTGTCTACCTAAACTACTTTTTCAAAGGGTCCCCTGTATAAGGACTGTACCATTAAAGGGATTCTTATCAACTCCAAAGGGCTAACTTTAACAATTATAAACCATTGATGTCATGTCTGAAGTATGTTTTTATCTGTCCTGCATTTATTAACCAGTCAGATGACACGCAAATAAACCAAAATCATGCCTCGGATTGGGAATAATGAGGGTGTGCTCTGTTCTGCTAATCAGACTTGTTATCATGGAAAGAACTTGCAACCATCTTTTTTTTTTTTTATTTTGTTGTTATTTGGGTTTGAGGGGAGGGGTATCAAAATAGAGAGTGGGTGCTGGGGGTTAGTGAAGGGTGTAGACATGCAAGAGACAAGAATGGATTCTACTTTGTACACTCATCAGGCAAACAATATCGCTAAAGGCCTGATCGGGAGGCGGAAGTGGCAGGAAAGCTTTGTTTCTTTGGTAGCCCCCTCTTTGTGATTAATGGTTTTACTTTGTAATGTTCTTGCCCCTAACTCTCCTCATATGTGAAAAGAACTTTGCTGTTGCTCCTTGTCAGCCTACAGGTAAACTTCTCTTCTAGTGAGAGTGTTGACAGGAGATGGCTTATATTCCCCTGTTTTTGTTAAAGGAATATCCTCAGAGTTGGCTTCCTCATTTTTGCTGAAGCTAGCTGCACTGAAGGTTTCATAGGATGAGGTCAACTTTTTGTTCAGGAGGTTTCTGTTGCGGTCCCCCATGATGGCAGCTTCGCCATTGGCCAGCTTTTCCTGGCTTCCTCGTTCATCGACAGGCATGAAAGTGGAGAGTTTGGGCTGGCTCTTCTTCCTCTCAGGGGAAGTGCGGACTGGCATCCAGCAGGAGTCTGAATGGCCATACTCATCACATTCACGGGTGCACTTGCCAGTCAGAGCTACATCTGGAAGAGGCCTTGAATCTGAAATCCAAGAAGAAGAAGCAATTATCAGTGTTAGACATACATCAACAGACTGTCCTGTTACATATGAGCCAGCTACCCATCACTTCACAGAACAGTACTTATTTGATGTATAGTAAAGATAAGGTTTTGCAAAATTGGGCAACTACAGAAGAGAGAAATGGAGAAATGATCCTTTATGTATGCAAAATGGTCAGTTATATATTCATTTGTTATATTGCAGAGCCATGCAGATATTCTCAAGTGCTAAGTGTGTGTGTGTGTGTGTGTGTATGTGTGTGTGTGTATATACATATATATATATATATAGTTTTTCTCCTTTATGTGTATATATATATATATATATATATTTAACACATAAAGAAGAAAAAATATTAAGTCCAAAGGTACTTTTCTGTATCTATAAGTTATTCCATAAATAGTGTGCTGTGGCCAATTGGATTCACTCATGCATTATTTGTAGAATAGGCAAATAGGCAGAACCTTATACTTAAAATACACTGTAAGACACAAGGATGACTGAAAAGTGGAGCCTAAACTAACATCACATTAAATGGTATAAAGTTCAAAAGCAAAGTAGAAGCAGGATAAACATCCGAGCACATTAGCAACAGAACTTCAAGCACCACCCGACTCCCCATTATCCACCACCATGATAGATGACCTAGTGTGTGTGGTAGGACGGTACCTACATGTCACATGGAAATATATTTCCAAGTGTACTTACTGAATGGAAATCTGAGATACAACATATTGTATAAGTGTGGTAAAATTCTGAAATCGTTGATGGAATAGCATATGTTTCTAATTAATGTTCTTTATCAAAGGGAAATGTATTCCATTTCAAAGCCCTAACTCATTTTTACACAGTTCTTAGTGATTGATATTAGATATTGCAGTTATGAATTATTGGTATGCATGGATAAAATCATGATATGCATGGATAAAGTCATGATATATGATTATAACTTCATTAGAATTAAAAATCTACTTACTGGCTTCTACTAAATTTTGAAAGATAAAGAGACAGAAACTTGCTCTACTACAACTGATTCTAGAACAATAACCTGTAGGGTTTCATTTAATGAATTTCATAGTTTAATTTTCACTCATAACCCAGAATGAAATCATCCCAGTGAATATCATACAGGTATTGATTAATGTGACTTGGGACTTTAAAATAAATCAAGTGTGTCTCCAACATGGACACTCATAAGTAGTGAATTGAATATTCATAATTGCAAGTGGTTTTGGTTTAAAACAAGAGAGGCTTTTGTATGATTTCCAGTATTTTAAGTTTTATTTTGCTAAATGTTTACATTTTTCCCTTTATGGATGGATAACTGACAGACATAATTATTCATTGGAAGTATTCATGCTACTAGTTGACTTCTGAGTGAACAGATCCTTTAAGAGTCAAATGAAATAAATAAAGGTGGTGGGTTGGAGAGATTGGTTAGCAGATAATAGCATGACTACCCTTTAGAGGACTTGGATTTGGTTTCTAGAATGAATACAGTGGCTCACAAACTATTAACTCCAGTTTCAGGGATCTGATGACCTCTTCTGGCCACCATGAACACCAGATACAGGAGTGAACACAAATATAAATGCAGGCAAACCACACCACACACACACACACACACACACACACACACACACACACACACACACACCACTTTCATTATTTTTTTTTGATGGCTGAGCTCCTTACTGCATCATCTCTTAAAAACAACAAAAAACAAAACCAAAGCCAATCCTTTCTTTTTAATATGATTTTTATAATCCATTTGATTTAAATGGGGAAATATGAAATCTGTGAGGCTATATCCTATCTTGATTGTCATACATACTCTGAATAGGAAAGTAATTTGAAAATGTGAGGTGTGAGATCAGTTCTATTTTTCACTCTAAACATGAATGTTCCTCGCGTCTTTAAGAAGTTCGAGGCACCTTTTCTCCTTATAGTATTTTTCCAGCACACGTAAAAAAAAAATTGAAACTTTGTTACTGAAACAGGAAATATCTTCATGAAGGAGGTAAGCCATTTTCTGCCCAAATGACCCAGAACTGTTTTCTGCCATTCCATCCTGTGTCTTTATTTGTATAATTAGCAAGCTGCTTTGTAGAAATCTTTGTTTCTGGTTTTCAGCTGATTTACTCTAGTTTTCCTTCTGTTTGAGATGCATCTAGAAACAGACTGGACACCTATGCTGATGACCCAACAACTCTTCGGAGCTCTTTGCTGTACATTGTGTATAAGAACTACACGTGAGCCATAAGGATTGTACTCATTTAATTTTGATTTATTTTTCAAGTATCTACCCATGAAGCCATCAATCTTTCCCTCAGTCTACACTTCACAATCTGGACTATTTCCTACTAAGAATGTTTTCCTCTTACCGCTTTTAAGGACAGGTGTCACACCCCCTCCTTTTTTTTTTTTTTTTTTTTTTTTTTTTTTTTGCCACAGTCTATTTACAGGCTGCCACATCTCTATCCAGAAAGCATGACTTTTAATGAGGACCTCCTGTCATTTCCAAAGTCAAACACATGATTGGGCACCACAGTGAAAGTTGACAAGCCTAATTGGCTGAGACATGCTGCAGTGTTTGTCATCAAATTTAGAAAATAATCAAGGACGACTATAAGGGAGTCATCAGGAGCAATCAGAACTTTCCGTCCTGATGACTGAAATACATCTTCAAAAGCAAAGCCAATGATTAACCCACGCAATTTGTATTATGATGTAATTTATTAAGGGAGCTGATAAGTAGAATAGTAGCTCTCTGTGATTATATGTTTTCTTATTTCAATTATGCTGGCACATATTATTATTATTAACTATTATTATTTTAAAAACTTATATGGGAACATTGAACATCATTGGGCATAATTCTTTCCTCCATAAAAGACTTTCAAAATATTTTTGTAGGATTATGGAGGACAACTTTCTATAACCATTGCCTCCTTTTAATCTTTAAAGAATGTATTTTGTTTTCATTTAGTTTTTGAGACAGGGTTTCTATGTGTGTCCCTAGGTGCCCTGGAACACTGTCTGTAGACCAGGCTGATTTCAAACTCAGAGATCTGTCTTTGTCGCCAGCGTGCTGGGAAGAAATGTGTGTACTACCACTGCCCAGCAAGAACATAGTTTTAACATCTAAGAAAGTTATTATAGATTTAGTGTAGTATTATTCCCATTATTTTGAGCAGAGTAAATACAGGAAACAGCTAATACAAATCTTGTTAGAATATAGTACATTAATAGAAACATTGACTGTTCCATTTGAAATATAATATTCTCTAAAAAGTGATTTCAAGGACAGACCAGCTGTTTAGAGGTCTTGGAATTTAATATTCTCCCAACTCTTTCCCTACTTAGTGTGTATGTGTACAATTTCATGTGTACACATATGTACACAAGCTATGGAATGAATGTTCATATCAGGGTAACACACAGGAGTAGGCTCTCTCCTCCTACGATATGGCTCTCAGGAATCAAACTCAGTTCCTCAGTCCTGGTAGCACCTGCCTTCACCTGCTGAGCACAAACCCAACTTTTATCAAATATTAGGATAGCCAATGTAGAAATGGTTTTGAATAGATCCTCTCCTGCTTAACATTACGTGTGTTCCTCAATTTTAAAGGAATTGAGAAATTTACTAGAAAGATTGCATTGGTTTGAAGAGCTAACATCCTTTCTTACACAATAAATTACCTTTCTGCTCAAATGCACATTTTCAAGTCATTACAATAACAAAACAATACTGGAGCAGTTTAGAATATGGGAAATACCTTCTTATAGCCTCTCTATTTCCTTCAACTGGAGACCAAGGAGGGCGGATGGAGTAAGGGCCCTATGTGGTACAATAGTATTTCATCTGTGTGACTTTTGTTTGTGCTGCATTTGTTTAACTTTGTGGATCCTTTACCTGTCTGAAACACTCGATGGTCAAAAAATAGCTGAATGGCCACGAACAAGGCAGGGGTGGCAGGCAAAGAGAATAAATAGAAGGAAGGAAGGAGGAGCAGCAAGATACGGAGAGGCGGACACCAGGGGCAGTCACGCGGATACACAGCCACGTAAAAGTGAGAGATATCCAGACGGGAGAGAAGGGAAAAGCCCATGGACAAAACACAGACTGGATAATTTAAGGTAACAAAATCTGGCAAGAAATAAGCCAAGATAAGGGTGGACATTCATAAATAATAAAAAGACTTCCCCATGTGTGAGTTATTTGGCAGCTGGGTCATTCCCCCCTCCCCCAAATAAAAGAATAAGAAAACACCAACCACAGCCAAATCTCTAGGAGAACAGAGGCCAAAAGGCAAGCATCTTGACTTTCACTTTCAGGTTTCTCCATTTTACCTCATTGCTCCTTTCTAAAGTATAAGACAGGAGTTATCTGGAGGTCAATTTACTACTAGGAAAAAGATTCTGAAGAAGAGGTATCTAAATAGCACAGAAAACTGATGCCACGAAGTCTCACATTTTATCACCTACTTAAAAGAATGGCTTCATTTGTTAAAACACCAAAAACAAACAAACAAACAACAACAACAAAACACACAAAAAGCAAAAAACAAAACGAAACAAAACAAAACTGTAAATCTCATAAAATAGGGAAAAACCATACACCAATTTAAAAACTCAACCCCAGGACCCCCATTGCCAGGCCTCTGCCAGACACCCAGCTATCCAAGCTGGACCACCCTGAGTCCCTGACTGCCTGAACTTTGACCACCAGCACTGGGCCTCTGTCGGAGGAGAGACCTTCTAGAGAGCTGGAACCACCCAGAACTACAGACATCGAACTACTGAAAGTACAAGAAGCATACCGAACACCAAATAGACTGGACCAAAGAAAACAGACCCCTCAACATATAATACTCAAAACACCTACCATACAGAATAAAGAAAGAATATTAACAGCTGTGAAGGAAAAAGGCCAAGTTATATATAAAGGAAGACCTATCAAAATTACACCTGACTTCTC